CCTATGGATTTAAAGGAACAGCATCTAAACCAGCTGCTTTCAGACACACCTCAGAAACGGGGTGAAAGATGGGCTGGTAAAGTTAGAATAAAGAGGAATTCAGATCAAATCACTGCACTTTATAATTTGAATAATTTAAATGTTTAAAAAGAAGGATTTAAAATTTAAAACACTGGCTTTACATTGTCGTTAACCCTGTTTGTCAACAATAAATCTCATGAACCACTGGAGTATGAACCTTCAGCTGATTGACCTTTTGAGTTAATCCCATATAAGAAGGTCGTTGCAGCTAACTGACCTTAGCCAACACAAAAATATCTGTGAGTGAAACTGTAATCTTGCAGATTGAGTTAAAGTTTGATATAGTGGTAGCAGAGAATCATCCTCATCACTCCAACACTAACACTTTGTCAGATCTTGCAAAATAAATCACAAACTCATTTAGAGGGGTTGACAGGAACAACCCCAACTTTGTAATTTCAGAAGATAAGATTTTAGTCAACAGCAATATTCATTCCTTCAACAAATTCTGATGTGTGGGTGTGGCTCACTGTTAGAATGCATGCTAAGCATGTTTGAGGTCCACCCACATTTTCTTTTACGTGATAAGTCAAGCTATCATAACTAATCTTTTCATATTTTTTGCAAAAGGCAGGACCATTACTTAACAAAACGTGTTTTGTAAACAACTCAAAACAAGTTTTTGCTCTACTAATGGCTCTGAGCTGAGACAACTCACATTTACATGTTTTTACTGGTTTTGGGAGGGGCTTGTCAGTGACCTGACCAATGAGCCAGTAGGTGGCAGTAATGCACCTTTAAGTTGTTTGCCAACATGAAGAAGAAGAAGTAAACTAACAGAGCTAAATGCTTGTTTCTTCTGATGGTGTTGGCTGCATGGTTACTGACTGCATTGTTTCTGTTGCATTACAATGATTCCTGGCCATGATTGTTGTTTGGTAGTTCAGCTGTGTTAGTTTGTTCAGTTTGTTTCTTTTTAGCTGATGACTCTGGTTCTTGCCTGTTTACTGCTTTGGGTTAATAATTTAAGTCTTACACATTGTGAAATCTTTACTCACTTTTAACATGTTTAAAACGTTACACTTGCATATGTAGGGGTCACCTCGAGTGAAGAAACAAGATTTACTGCCTCAAAGCAGGCCTCGGACAGGCCTGACGAGAGGACAGGAACTCTGTCACAAAC